TGGACCCAGCTGCGAAACCGTGAACCAACTAGAATGTAATCGATCTGACTAGTGGTACGGCCGTCTTTCGAATACCAGGTCAGTAGATGTTTGTGTCGATGTTGGTAGCATGTGTTGGTAACAAACAGTCGATTCTGTTCGGCAAAGTGCAACATCCTCTCACCATTCTCCGTTCGAGAGCGAAACACAAAACGACCAAGAAGGTGGCTGTTTGTCGGGCCACCGGGCCCAGTCCGGCCATTTCAGTCCCCGGTGACAATTAACAGATCACGGCGAGGGAGTCTTTCGACTAGCTCCTGCAGCTGCGAATAGAAGTTGTCCTTGTCCTGCTGATCAGCCGCCGTAAAATGGCCTTTTAGTCGAACATAGGCCACTCGGTCGTTGACTTGTTCCCATGCCAGTATTGCACGGTTGGCTTGTTCCGAGAGGGCAAGAGCCACACCGCGTCTACCAGATGAGTCACTCGGACCACTGCGATACAGGGTGAGATGGGAATCAACCCCTGAGATTTTGATTTTTCGGGCGCCTGAATCGAGGAGTCAGACTGCGAACAGGAAACAAACATCCACGTGATATTCATGGAGACTGTGCACTGTCATACTTTGAGTACGAGGTTTCAGAAATGTTCGCACATTCCAGCATCCAATACCAAGAGTCCATTTTTGATTGAGCAGTCCAGCTTGCGTATTATTCACCCGGACCACCGGACAAGGGTTGCGGAGTGCGTCGGTTACCGCGGACACTGTAGCATTGGTCGTAAAATCGTAAGTTGACATATTCATGAGGTTTCTTGGGATTTTGAGTACATGAGGGTCCCCAACAGCCGCTCGAATTCTTCTTTCGAGGTTGTCTCCTCTAGCACTTTGGCTCAAGAACCTAACCACAAGGCAGTGGTGGTGATGGTGGCAAGAAAACCTATTTAATGGCGGTTCACACTCGCCTTGTCACAGTTCCGTCATTGGGACTTTCGGCATTTTATAAGGCAGTCGGTGCGCCAGACCTCAGCCCACCGCGCATTGGTAACACTCTCGCTACTTTGTACGCGACTGCTTAATCACCAGACCCGGGAAGCCTGCTTATTTCGCAGCTAACCTTCACTGAAGGCCACGCCACTATCCGCCACCTGTGGACGCGCCAGGTAGCCAGCAGCAAGGCTAACGGGTAACCCTCCTTTCCTGGTAACCCTCCAAACCACAAACAGACGCACATCCTTACGCGAACTGACCCAATCGCGTAAGC